CCCGCAGCGCCAACATGCGGCGCTGCGGGGACCTACCCGGCAGCACCCCAGCTGCTCTGTCCCAGGCGTCCAGGCAACCCAGCAGCACCCCAGCTGCTCTGCCCCAGGCGTGTCCCATTCAGCCTCTGCTGGTCAGTTTCAACAGCGGCTGAATCTGGACGCCAGTTCCGACTTACATACAAATTCAACTTAAGAACAAACCTACAGTCCCTATCTTGTACGTAACCCGGGGACTGCCTGTAATAAACAGTCATCTCTGGAATTCAGTTCTGTGAGAAATATGAGAAGATATGTTAGAATAGGAAAAGATACAGGAAAGGGCAACCCAAATTATTAGATGCATGGAGCAGCTTCCATATGAGGAGAGGTCTCTGGTTAAGCTCTTCCCCATAAGCCCATGCTGCCCACCCTGGGCAAAGGCATGAGGCCCAGCGAACACACATGGAAAAACATAGAAAAACAACCCCACCTGTTTATCATGAATGGAAGGAGCCGGAGTAGCATAACATTAGGTGGGTAGCCATAATTGAACACCCTTATCATGAGTTTCACGCACACAGACAAGACCAAAGCCTTGAGAAGGGCCTCATAGTCTGGGAAAGAGACAACAGCTGCCTTCCCAAGGCCAATCACAGATCCAGGAAAAGTAGCTGCCTTCCCAAGGCCAACCACAGATCCAGGAAAAGGCCTAACACGTCACTATGAGATGACTCCCCCCCTCCCTAACAATCCAAGCTTGCAGTCACACCAGAATAATGCTATAATTAATTGCATTGCTTTGTATCTTACCCTGTCTTTTTGCTTATACTCCTAGACAAGCACCTATGAACCGCATTGCACCTCACACCTATCTGGAAAGCACCGTCACCACTCCTATGGAATACAATTGGAATGTAGCATATGCATTGCAAGACAATTCCTTTCGCGGGGTGAGGGGGAGAGGAATATACTTGTGTGTAGCAATTGTGTTAACCTGAGCTATGGGCGGAGCTATTATGTAATCTCTTAGACTATTGGCTTACTGTGCTCATATGCCTTACTGCTAGAACCTATCCATGGGCTTGGGAACTCCTACCCCATCTCTTCTCTCCACTCATCAGCTCCCTATATAGTCTATTGTAATTATTTGCTTGGCAGTGTTTGCCAAGCAAATTGGCAAGGTGATACTCTGCCAGCGCTGTGCGTAATAAACCCTCCTGCTTGAATCTACATGGTGTCTACATTTTGGTTTCCAACAGGAGTGTTATTTACTCCTTCTCAAACACAAGAACCAAATTAAATTAGTAGGCAGCAGGTTTGAAACAACAAAAGGAAATATTTCTCCACATAATGCACAGTCAATCTGTGGAACTTTTTGTCAGAGACCAGGACTATAACAGGGTTCAAAAAAGAACTAAATACATTCATGGAAGATAGGTTCATCAATGGCTATTACCCAAGATGGGCATGGTTGGTGTCCCTGGGAGTGACTAGCAGGAGGTGTTTCATTTGGCGATTGCCTGTTCTGTTCAGTCTCTCCGGGGCACCTGGCATAGGCCTCTGTTGAAAGACAGGAAACGACTAGTTGGACCTTCGGTGTGACTCAGTCAGTCCATTCTTATGAAATCCCCCACATCTAACTTCTTGGCTAGGCTATTTCCTCCCTTAATGTAGCAACGTGGTGGGGGATTATAATATATTTGCTCCTGGTAAATTAGGACGCGTGTTAGTTGTTCTTAATCCAACCCAAAGACATCTTGGTGCTGGGTACTAAATGCCTGTGATCATAATATACTGCAAGTTGACAGCCTTCCTTACCCGCCTGAGGAATTATCAGCAACACCCAGATCACTCTTTAGCCCTCACCTCCTTGCTCCATTTATTGTCCATCCATCCATCCATCCATCCATCCACCCACCCATCCAAACAAATCACTAAGGCTGTGTCTAGACTGGCCAGTTTTTCTGCAAAATCAGCTGTCTACACTGGCCGCTTGAATTTCCTCAAGAACACTGACGATCTCATGTAATATCGTCAGTGTTCTTGCGGAAATATTGTGCTGCTCCTGTTGCATAAATTGCTGGTTTCGTCCCCTTGGAGGCTAGTCTGATTTGCCCCAAGAAGAGAGTCACACTTTCAGGCTGGGTCCAACTCAAGTTTATTTACTTGCAAGTAAAGTTCGGCTGAGGAACTCAATGCTCAAAGCAAAGCCGACCCCCAGCATCGCGTAAGCAAGGGGTCTTATAGGGTTACCATCCTTCCTGGTTTATGTACCTTAGCGTGATAGGTTACTTCATTTTGACTCTTAGCATTCTTATAGGTCAGGTTAATTTCTAAATAAGATTAAATACAGTGCCCACTTGCTGACTTTGCGGTTACAGTTGTTTGTTACATTTATTCACTTGCTTAACAATAGGCGAGTTACACTTCCTTTTTTCCTGCTTGAGCCTGCCACAAGTTAAAGTATGTGGAATATATTTATATCCCTACTTAACAGGAGACTGGTTTCACTTCCCACTATACCAACGTCTCCTTATTAGGTGTTGTTTTTGCGGCAGGCACTAACCTGCATCACGTCTTGCAGCACTCCTATACAAGCTTGAATTTCCTCAAGAACACTGACGATCTCATGTAATATCGTCAGTGTTCTTGCGGAAATATTGTGCTGCTCCCATTCGGGCAAAAGCCCTCTTGCGCAAATCATTTGCACAAGAGAGCCAGTGTAGACAGCACAGTACTGTTTTGCGCAAAAAAGCCCCGATGGCTAAAATGGCGATCGGGAATTTTTTGCACAAAAGTGCTTTTGCGGAAATGCGTCCGTGCCAATCTAGATGTTCTTTTCCGCAAATGCTTTTAATGGAAAACTTTTCCATTAAAAGCATTTCCGGAAAATCATGCCAGTGTAGACATAGCCTAAGGGTATGTCTACACAGCGGGGCTAAAGCCAAAATAGCTTATTTTGGCATTTGGCGCTGTCTACACAGCAGGAAGACAGAGAAAGAGCACTCTTCCTCTGACTTCCTTTACTCCTCATAAAATGAGGATTACAGGAGTCAGAGTAAGAAGTCCTCCAGCTTGACATCATTTTGACCTTATGTCGAAATAACTGCTTGTAGTGTTGACGCAAACTACGTCTCCTTATTAGGTGTTGTTTTTGCGGCAGGCACTAACCTGCATCACGTCTTGCAGCACTCCTATACAAGTAGCAGATATGTCTAAGCATTAGCAATGTATGTATGTTGTACGTGCTTCTTGTAGGGGAATCAATGGCTCTGGGGGATTTGACTTCCCCTTTACACATCACTCCCATTCGGGCAAAAGCCCTCTTGCGCAAATCTTTTGCGCAAGAGAGCCAGTGTAGACAGCACAGTGCTGTTTTGCGCAAAAAAGCCCCGATGGCTAAAATGGCGATTGGGAATTTTTTGCACAAAAGTGCTTTTGCGGAAATGCATCCGTGCCAATCTAGATGTTCTTTTCCGCAAATGCTTTTAACGGAAAACTTTTCCATTAAAAGCATTTCCGGAAAATCATGCCAGTGTAGACATAGCCTAAGGGTATGTCTACACAGCGGGGCTAAAGCCAAAATAGCTTATTTTGGCATTTGGCGCTGTCTACACAGCAGGAAGACAGAGAAAGAGCACTCTTCCTCCGACTTCCTTTACTCCTCATAAAATGAGGATTACAGGAGTCAGAGTAAGAAGTCCTCCAGCTTGACATCATTTTGACCTTATGTCGAAATAACTGCTTGTAGTGTTGACGCAAACTATGTTATTCTGAAATAAAACTGCTGTGTAGCTGTACCCTAAAGTAGCGTCTACACAGCATTGTAACTCAAAATAAAATACGCAATTTGAGCGGCACAAGTTGTTATAGCAGACCCACTGTGAGGGACCCAGAATGGTGGGTGGGCCTGGTTCTGCTCCAACCCCCATTAGCCATTGGGGGAAGTGGTCAGGACATTGAGGACCCCAGAGAGGTGAATTGAACTTCAGTGATCCAGCTGTGGCTGGAATGACTCTTAAGAGGGTGAAGACTTTGTTACCAAGAAGGGAGCATTGGGGCTTAGCTCATCTCCAGAGCCGGAACAACTTGTAGGAGACATAGAGAGCACTGAGGGCACGTCTACATAGCAGGGCTAAAGTCAAATTGAACTACACAAGTTGAGCTATGTCAGTTGCGTAGCTTAAATCAAAATAGCTTAGTTTGGCTTTTGACGCAGTCTACACCCCAGGAGGTTCAAGGAAGAGCTTTCTTCCTTCGACTTCCTTTACTCCTCATAAAATGAGGATTACAGGAGTCAGAGTAAGAAGTCCTCCAGCTTGACATCATTTTGACCTTATGTCGAAATAACTGCTTGTAGTGTTGACGCAAACTATGTTATTCTGAAATAAAACTGCTGTGTAGCTGTACCCTAAAGTAGCGTCTACACAGCACTGTAACTCAAAATAAAATACGCAATTTGAGCGGCACAAGTTGTGTATCTTATTTTGATGCTATTTTGAAATAGGTTATTTTTTCATTTGGTGCTGTCTATACAGTGCAAAATTTTGAAATAAAGTACTATTCCAAAACATCCCTTATTCCTCATAGAATGAGGTTTACATAGATGTTGCGCAAAATTTTGAAATAAAGTACTATTCCAAAACATCCCTTATTCCTCATGGAATGAGGTTTACATAGATGTTGGACTAGCAAGCCCAAAATAATGGGCTTGCTGTGAAGACAAGGGATAGCTATTTTGGGATACTCCAGTATCCCAAAATAGTGTTGCAATGTAGACATACCTGCAAGGAATACAAAACTTCCACTTGGGGCTTTCTACACAACCATGACTCCCATAGCTTCCCACCTGGCATCTCTCTTCTCCCAAGACTACTGCAGGAGACTGTCCTTTCCTGCATCTTCTCTCCACACTTCCTCATCCCTTTCTGCAGCTCTTTACATGGCTGGTGTTTCTATTCCTTTCCTAATAGTACCTAATACTCCGTTCATTTTTTTGACTGCCATTGCATGCACTGAGTGCATGTTTGTAGGGAACTATCCATGATCACTTGACCACATCATTTTGTATGAAAAGTTGGGGTTATTATTGCCAAAGATCAATACTTTGCACATATCAGCATTGAATTTCATCTGTTATTTTATCACCCAGTCACCCTGTTTTGTGAAATCCCTTTGTGACTCTGTACAATCATCTTTGGACCTAACTATCTTGAATAAGTTTGTATTGGCTACAAATTTTACCATTTCACTGTTCACCCCTTTTTCCAGATATGTTCAACTGCACAAATCCCCTTATAGACCCTTGGAAGTTCACATTGTTTACCTCTCTCCATTGTGAAAACTGACCATTTATTCCTATACTCTGTTTCCTATCTTTTAGCCAATTACAAGTCCAGGAGAGGACTGTCCCTCTTATCTCATGACTGTTTAGTTTACTTGAAAGTCTTTGGTGAGAAAACCCATCAAAAACTTTCTGAAAGTCCAAGTACACTACATGGACTGAATTGCACTTGTCCACATGCTTGTTGACTTCTTCAAATAATTCTAGTAGATTGGTGAGGCATGATTTCCTTTTACAAACACTGGACTGATGCTTCCCCAAAGAGCATGAGTATCTATGTTAGTTGCTCTTTACCTTTCTGACTATTGAACCCCTTTCCAGAATCTGTTTTGCATACCCCATAAGTTACAACTATTTGTTTACAAAATCAGACATAAAAGTACAAAAATGTCCCAGTGCACTATTTCTGAAAATTTGCTTACTTTTTCATTTTACCATACAAGCAAATAAATAATTTGGAATATAAGTACTGCATATATATTTCAATGTATAGTATATAGAACAGTATAAACAAGTCATCTGTATGAAATTTTAGTTTGTACTGACTTTGATAGCCACTGATCTATGTGTCTGATAATTCGGGGGAGGGTGGTTCAACTAATCTGCCTGGTACTGAAGTTAGGCTTACCAGCTTGTAATTCATAGAATCATAGAATCATAGAATAATAGGACTGGAAGGGACCTCGAGAGGTCATCGAGTCCAGCCCCCCGCCCTCAAGGCAGGATCAAGCTCCGTCTACACCATCCCTGACAGATGTCTATCTAACCTGTTCTTAAATATCTCCAGAGAGGGAGATTCCACCACCTCCCTTGGCAATTTATTCCAATATTTGGCCACCCTGACAGTTAGGAATTTTTTCCTAAT